GGTCTTCTATCTGTATTGTATGTTGTGTATCATCTGGTTGATGTCCATGAAAACAGATGGCATTGAGTATCTGTTAGAATTGAGCCCTACAGGCATGGCTTGCATGTTGACCACTACTGACAGGACTGACCCAGACAGTCCTCAAAGGGATATGAGTCTTCATTTGGGAGGAAGTCCAGAACTTCTGGAATCAGATCTGAGAAGCATGCATGAGCAGGCTTCTTCTATTTCAGAGTACATGTGATTTAGCAATATGAGCTGTGTTTATTTTCTCTGTGATGTCTTCTGGGCATTTCACATACACAGATGTTTGTACTTTGATTTGGCTGCTGATGGTTATTCCGGTGAAGTTCAGGAATTGGGTCCAGTGAAAATAGTCCTGGATATCTTGCTGACTAATTTTGGTTGGGCTTTTTTGATTGTGGTCTGTCTGGATGGGCTTTTTTTGTTGTAGTTGTTGTTGTGTGGTGTTTTTATTTTTTTTTTGGTTTTTGTTTTTGGGTTTTTGTTTTGCTTTTGTTTTGGGGCTTGTTTGTTTTGGTTCTTTTTGTGGTGGTGGGGTTTTTTTGTTGGAGGAGGTTGTTTTGTTTTTATTATTTCTGTGGATATGCATTAGTTTAAAAACTTTTACAGATCCCTAAAGAGGACATAGTGTTAACAGTATAAAAGGGGGTTATTCCAGTATCAATTATTCTTGTTTAGAAGAAAAGGAAAACAAGCACACTGTGTGCGTGAGCCCATGATTTCTTCCTGCTTTCTATCACATGTCTCTTTTTAGGAATTTTTAAGTTCTGTCCCAAAGCAGAACTTGCAGGATGGACTCTGAAGTGTTTTCAGAGTTGTATGGGCAGAACCACTAGATCAAGGAATCTAGGATTTTTCAAAGAGCATACTATAAAAGATGCTTCTTTGGTCATATTCTCCCTGAAGAGCAAGAATTGGTCTTTTCCCCTAGCAGTTCTCCCCACTGCCGATTCCCTATGTCAGAGTAGTTGGTTGGATAGTTTTGAGGAAGACGGGGAAATGAAATCATAGTTTTGACTCCGTGTATTTGTTAGTCTCAGCTAATTGTTGTACTCTTGCCTGCCGTAAAAGTTTCATAAGGAGAAGAGGGCTGATGCACCCTATTTTTTTTTTTGTTTATATTGAAATATAAATGATAGAACAAGTTGCTTGTAAGGGTTTGAAATATTTTTTTGTATTCTAGATGATATTGTAGAATATTAAAACTTGGATACTTTCAGACTGTTAATCTTGGGTATCCAGATTCTATGGGTTTTCATTCCTAGCTGTAACACAAGCTGCAAAAGGGTTTAGTTGCAAAGGTTAAAGAATAGTCAAAGGCTCATCTGATAAATGGCTGCAAGGACTGTAGTCAAAAATCTTCAGTCTGCCAGAGGGAAAGTAAAACTTGTCAGACTGCGCATGGACATGATGGATTCATCAGACGGTAAAACTGGCATCTGCCTTTCCTACAAAGAAGAGACTTAATTGCAATAGTGGGGAGGTTTTTATTGGACATGGATTTTTCAGAAGCAGATAATGTGTTCAGGAGTTTTTTGTTTGGTTGGTTTGGGTTTTGTTTTGTTTGTTTGTGCCTGATTGGTACAAACAGCCAAATTTGACACAAATTTGCCTATTGTTTTGTCTATTTTAGCACAAATAGCCGTCATTAAAGAACTTGCAGGACCTATCAGTTCAATTAGGTTCCTTGCTGTAGAAAATATGTAAAATCTACCATTCCCTTGCTATATGGGGGGAATACTCACGGTATTCTGAGTGCACAAGTGTTCTGCATCAGTCCATTGTGTGCTATGTGGAAGGAGATTTTCAAGCTGTTTATTTCTTCTTGCCAAGCATAACACATAGCTGATTTAAAACAAACAAATCCCAAACAACAACAAAAAACATGCCAGCTTGGCAACTAGGGAGCCTCTAGTTATTGCAATATTTCTTGTGCTACCACCTATTGCTTTGTGTAGTAACTCTGCCTGCAGTAATCTGGCTACCTAGAAGTACATCACTTGTTCTTTCCACTCATTCCGAGAAAATGCTTCATGAACTTCACTGGCTTCAGACAGGGATTTGATTGCCTCTAGGTAAAAGACTTGCTTAAAAGCGACTGCCAATACTTTCCAAAATAACAGCACTACTGCCACTGTGCTGTTGCTCTTCGTTGCCATCACCCAGACTGATTTTTGGAAGTAAAGTCATCTAGTCAGAAGCCTGTTAATCAGGCAAGCAAACTGACCTCCTTTGTCATACCACCTGTTGTTAGAAAGAGAAGTCACTTGAACGCGAAGTTAAACTCACTGTGTGTAAGCAGGCACGATGTCCTTGATTTAGGAGGAAGGTGTGTGCATTACAGCACTGATAAATATGTCCCTGAAATGCATCCAACCTGAATTCAGAACTGAAGTTCCTCCTACCAACAGAACAATGAATGATCATCTTGCTGCAATGACCTGGAGACTTGCTACTTGCATAAAGAAATTGTTCTGATTTTCAAAACTAGAGGTAGAGCCTTTAGTACCTGAGAATTTCAGGTCAAAAGTGTCTGTAATGGAAACACCAGGCAGTATTTAGGGACACGGTAAGGCACTGAGCATACATATGTTCAGTAAGTTGCACTTTGGTGTTGCTTGCCTGAGATCATTCAAGCTCCAGAAAATCTGAACTGAACAGATGCTGAGTCCTTGACTTAAATTAATTCTGCTCAGATGAATGTACTGTACTCTACTTAAATAGGTGTCATTAAGCACCTTTCACAGCTCTTTAGCAGGTGTTAAGCACGAAAAATAGATCAGTTGAGAGAAAGGGAGAGATAAAGAGTAAATTCAGTGCAAGGTGCTTAATATCTATCTAGCATTGTGTTGAAACCCCAAATGACTTTATTTTGGAGTGCTTCAGATGTATCCAACACTCCGGTATGCTTCTAACTGCTCTGATTCACAGTCTTGCCTACGACAAAGATAACAAAGGTATATAATGGTCTTGCTTTAGCCCTACTGGAGTCAACCACAAAATTCACGTTGACTATAACAGAAACTAGACACGAACCTAAGTCTTCTCTAAAACTGGCAAACAGAATGGTGTACCAAACTGAATCCTAGAGTTGCAGGCTTTTTCTCCATTAGGATGTGAACTGCAAAGTAAATTGCTAGCTATAACAAAAGCTCTAGATTGGTAATTTATTTATTTATTTAAATGTTATTAGAAAAATAAGATTTTTACTGAGAAGACTATTATCAAAAACTGAGAGTTATTCCTCTGGAGTGGAAGAAATACATTTCTCGCCTATCTAGCCTTTCGTAGAACAATAATAATAAACCTTAATTTACCATCCGTCCCTCCCTCTCTCCATCACACCTATAGTACTATTTCCATTGCAACAGAGTGGTTTTCTTTAAAACAAATTCAGGCATAGTAAGAAGATCAGTACATATAGGTCCAGATATGACTTATTTTGCACAAAAAAAAAAAAAAAAGACCTTGCTTCAATTGTATGATATATGGGAAATGAAATTAGGAATGGTGTCAAAGCAGTGCCATATGGTAGGCTATAGCACCAATCCATATAGCAGTATGATAGTTATTGAAAAACCATTACCCAATATCTGTTTTTAACTACCCTCTCAATTAATAACTTGTTGCCAACCCATAAGCACCATTTTTGTCTGCACATTGATTTAGTGGTATTCCTATGACTTTAAGATTTGGATTGAACATCTAAATCTGCAGACTACTAATAATTTGGCAATTAGCTTTAAGCTATTGTTTAAATCATATTTAATGAAAATAGTGATATATTTAGCTAAGAGTCTCTTGAGAAATCTGACTTATAGAGTCAGTAAAAAACCCAACATTATTTCTGATGCCAAGAGAAGATGATTTTCTCTAGTGAGAGGGTTGGGATTTTTTTCTGATTTATAAAGAAGTTGATGGGGAAGAATCTATTACAGATTGCACCTAGCTTCTGTTTTGTAGAGGCAGCTAAAAGTTTCTATTGCTTATGATAATAAACACTGAATTTTGTATTCCTGTAAATTAAAAAAGTCCCCACCTTATATAATGCTTGTTGCAAAATGGAAGTCATCTAAGTTCTTTTTTAATAAATATAATCATGAGTATTGACATGGAAAATAATTTTCTTCTGTGACTAATTAAATGACACCAGTATGAATTCTGTTTCTGCTACAAATTCATTATTGGCATTTTGCAAGCTATGGTGTGTCTCTGCAGTAGTTAAAAAAAAAAAAAAAAAGTGCATATACTTTTAGCTGCCTCTAAGCCAATCTGATCGATGTGCAACTGTACTGGCTGTCATGTTTGTTCACACAAGATAAAAGTCACTTTCTATAGACTACATGTTTTTTTTGTTTTGTTTTTTGAGCTATGAGACAAGTCCATAAACTACCCAAGTCCACTGTGATCGTGATTTACTCTCAGTGTAGCAGTTTAGGCTGACAAGAAAGGATCATTTATTTTTTTTTTTAACTCTTTGCATGAATTATGTACATGTGGATGGTTTATTCATTGTAGGAAAGTTTTACTAGCAAGGAAGCCACATTCTCTTGGCATGAACTCGTGAACTTAAACTGCTGAATGTTTTCTGTGCTTCCAAATTACCTGCGCCAAAAATCAAACCAAACCCTCTAAGCTCAGCCACTCTGACTTAGGCAGGTCCCAGAGGTGTGGCCCAAGGATGGGAAAGGCCTTTTCCTTTCTGTTGCATTAGCATGAGCATGTCTCCATGAAAGCTCCACAGGAAGATGAACATCTTTTATTAAGGTTGAAGCAACTCACTTCTTCAATGGTTTTGTTGGTTTCAATAAGATGTTTTTCTACCTGTACGATCCTGAAGTATTTCAATCTGAAACACAAACACGCCTCTATCAATTTATTTTACTTTAGTCCTCTAGACGGTCAGTATAATCATTCGGCAAGTAACTTAGTAAGATTTGTCTTCTGTAGTGGTGACTTCTGTGACTAATCTTATAGGTTGGATTTTTTTTGTTGATGGGGTATTTGGTGTTGGTTAGATTCAGGCTTTTTGAAATTAAGGAACTTTTGAAATCAGGAACCGATAAAATTAAGTTCTCTGGACACAAAACAGGATATTGTACAATAGCTTCAAGGGAAAGTCTCTTTTTCTGCCACTTTATGGAGTGATAAAGTTGCCAGAGCTTTTTGAAAGCTTCACCTTGGCTCTGTGATAGTGGCAAAAGCTCATCAGTGGTGAGGAATTTTTGTTTCATGCAGGAATTTTTGAGCATTCATCCTAAACCTCTGAACTACCGTGAACAGCCAGAGTTCTGCTATTGACTGAATACAACTTGCAGTCTCTGAAAAGCTACAGAGAATCAAAAATGAAAATTTGAATAGCACAAGTAATCTTAGTCTATAGCTAAATACAGTTAATTTACCAGGTTACAAAGCTCTTACCTGAATCTTTTGTTCTCAACAGTCCTGTTGTTGAAACAAGAGTTTTCCATTGTATTTAATCTAGAAAAATGAAGATGTTTACATAACTTGAATTTTTCCCATTCTGTACATCACGAGAGCTCTGAAAATAAACTGTATCCAGGCTTTTGTATTTGTTACATCAAAGTAAAATGTACTGCCAGTCCTGCAACACTGTATCCACTACCAAAGCAGTGACTTTGGACTATGGAAATACATCAGGACATCAGGTTGTGCTATTGGTGCCTATGCAACTGTGTTACTGTGATTAAGAAGTGATTCAGTACCAAGGTATATAAACACCATTCTTTATTTATCTGTCTGTGGTGCATGCTTTAGTCAGGCAACTGTAAATAAAGGTGGTTTTCATGCCATTTTCTTACTGTTTGTCTTACTATTATTAGGCTGTCAACTTGAAAGGGCACGATGGGACCATCGGCTTTCCTGGGCTGCTCTCCCATGTTCTGTATCTTCGGGAGCTGCTTTCCTTTTCCATAGGCCATGCCTTCAGCTGGTGGAAGGAACAGTCTGTTTCTATCTAAATCCACTCCTTGCTGGATGAACATACATTGTAAACTTCAAAGTGTGGGAATTTCCCTAATGTCGAAGTGCAGACTTAAGATGAGGAAAAGAGCTTGAAGGCATTTTGTTTAATTGATAATGACTGTGACAAACGTACTATTTGATTTAATTGTTCTTTTGCCTTGAAACTTTAACCTGTTTCATTCACCCAAGCAGTAAACCAGAAGAGTAAAATAACACCCCAGTTCTCTGCTAAGGATGTGTTTTTGTGCCTCTGGAAATAACCAGCTTCAACTCTGAACTACCAGAGTGGGTACTTCCTAAGGAGTTTCTGTGGACTTTATTTTCAGCTCAGATGTCATCAGGAGACAAAACAGAGGAAAATTCCCCTCTTCTCCTTTCGGTGCTTGCATGTGTTGCTGTTTATTAAAGTGGACTAAATTACTGTATCACACGCCTGCTTTATGTGTTTCAGAACTTGGTACTCAGTTGCCTCTTTGACACATAGTACTTACTTGGGATATTAAAACTGTCCTAAAAGCAGACAAAATCTTAACTTGTTAGTCCCAGATTTGCTTAAAGGGTGAAGGGAAAAAAGGATATGATCATTTGAAACACTAGGGAAGATCATCCTCCTTCCAATCAATGTGTTTCTCTGCAGCTCAGGATGAAGCGAAATGTTAGCTTGGTAGTGCTCAAGCTACATACATAAATACCCAGGATATGAAACCAATAATAAATCATCCTCTTCCTTGCAGGAGGATGATAACAAGCGTTTCTCTCCCAAGGAAGCATTCCACAGCAGGATCAATTTGTTTGTAAAGTGCTTGGATTGTTTGTGATGGTTTGAACTCTGCATAAACGCGGGGAAATGGCTCCATGTTACATCGATGTTTTTGAAGTATTCCTCTCATCGGATGATTTGTAAGCGTCTCCTTCAACGCCTCCTGACTCCGAGCTGCTAGATTTATCTTTATTTTGTCGTAAAGGCTTTTTGCTGCCTGTTGCGAGCAAGCTGCCTTCTCCTACCGGCGGAGAGCTCAGAGAGGGCTGGGGCCGCCGGAGCCGCCCGCGGGACCCGCTCCGGGGACGAACAAAGAGGCCACCAAACCCATCACCAACAGGTGCTGAGCAAGAAACAAACTTTCTTCGGGACATTACCGAGAGTTGCCTGTGGGGAAAGGTCCCTCGGCGGCGTCGGGGGAGAGGCAACCACCACCAACTCCCCCTCCCGCAACTAAACAACTCAGAGGGGGCTGTAGAGGAGAGGGACAAAGCGAGGGGAGCCGGTGGGACGTGGCGGGCTTTGGGCACGGAGAGGAGCGGGGCGGGGGGGCCCCGCACCCGCACCTCCCCCAGCACCGCCCGGCCCGGCCCGGCCCCACCCCACCTGCGGCCGGGCCCTGCCCGGACCCGCCCCGGGGCCGGTGAGCGGGGGGGGGCGGCGGGGGCGGCCGTTTAACCCCTTCCCCGCCGGCGGCTCCGGAAGCGGCGGCCGCGGCCCCGTGGGGCGCTGTGTCCTGCGCCGGGCGCGGAGGGGTGGCGGCGCAGGGAGGGGGCGAGCGCGGCGCTGGGGGGCGGCGGCGGGAGCCGCTCCCTCCTTGCCCAGCCCGGCCCGGCAGAGGCGGCGGGAGGAGGAGGAGGAGGGCGGCGCAGAGCGCAGACATGGCGGCCAACATGTACCGAGTGGGAGGTATGTGGGGACACGGCGGCGCCCGGCCCGAGCCCCCCGCGCCGCGCCCGGGCGGAGAGCGGCGCCCCGGCCCCTCGGGTGCCGCGGCCCCCAGCGGGGCGGCCGGGCCCGGCTTAGGGCGGCGGGAGGCGGCAGCCGGTCCCGGCAAAGGGGCCGCCGGGCCCTCCGCGGGGCGGGGGGGAGGACACAGGTTCCTCCCCCGCCGGCCCCGTGTGCCGGGTGGGAGCCCGGCCCCCGCCGCCGAGGAGAAGGGCAGCGCCGCCCTCCGCGGGGATGGGGGGAGCGGCGCCGCCGGCTCTCAGCCCCCGCACCGCGGGCCGGGCACGGCCGCCCTTCGCGCCTCACCTCCTTACCCGGCGGGCAGCGGAGGGGCCCCCACCGGGCCCGGGCGAGGGGCCGCCCTCCAGGGCTGTGTGTTCCCGGCCCTGCCCCGGCGCGGCCTGGCGGGCCCGGGCGGTGCGGGAGGGCGGGCGGCGCCCACCCCGGGGGGCGCTTCCCTCCGCGCCGCTCCCCGGCCCCCGCGCCCTCCCTCCGGCCGCGGAGTTTCCCCGCGCCTTCCTTGGTCTGCCGGGGATAAATAATTAATCCGGCTGTGTAGCCGGGAGATTTCTGTCAGCTTCCCTGCTCACCGACGTGACCCCTGAGAAGTGTGCTGATACGTGACTGCTTGGCACTGGGCGAAGGCCGAGGGACTGGGGGCGTGGGCATTTAGGCGGTGAAAAACAGGGCGAGCGTTTGTCTTCCCACCCCCAGCCTCTCGAAATTGACACGGATAAGTTTCCCTCCCTCACGGAGGGAGCGAACGTGGCAGTGTGCCGAGCGCTGTGGCTCAGGTGCACCGCTCACGTTAGGTGTGCAGTGTTGGGTACCCAGAAACGGCTTTATCCTCTTGGCCTCTCGACAGCCAGAACTGAGACTGAAGATGCGTGGAAATGAGGGGTGATAGCAGTTTAAATCTCTTTCTGCTCATATTTTGAGATGTGCTGATATATCCATGAGTCTTCCATCTGCATACTCCCTCATTAGGACATTTAGATTGTAGTCCCATCAGTCTTTACTCATGAAAGTAATCCTTCTCTGAGCGGGTAATGGATGGAGTTTGCCTCTAAGGTCATCCATTCTCATTTTTTTCGTTGTAATCTTAATAAGCAGTCGTGAAAAATATCCAAAGATCATATTCTTTCATTAGAACTAAGGGAGCTACCTGAAGCTTTGTTGCATTATAATGTAGTGTTGAAGCATTGCAGAAGAGTTTTATACATCGTTATGGTTCTTCCTCTAATTTTTAAAAGTAAAGTTTGCAAGGTGCGGGAAGTCCCATATCAAATTCAAAGTGTGGTTGGCATTTGATGGGTACTTTATCATTTGACAAAAACAAGTTTTCAGAAAATTATTGAAGGAAATGTGCTGCATGTCAGATCTTTGCATGTTACATGGGACCTGCTTTCAGGATATAAGTAAACTTCCTTACACTCTATGAAAATATTTTTACATTAACGATGCTGGAAGAGATTTTGTCCTGGAAGATCCTTACTAATTCCATGACTATATCTGCTTAATATAGTTTGCATCTTACTGAACAGAGATGACAACAAAAGCAAGAATTGTAAAACGTACATTACTCGTTTGGACAACTGTACTGCCAGAGCATCTGACAATAAATGTGAGATGACATACCTTACAGAAATATCTATCTCTGTAATATAGAAACTCACTAAACTGTGGAATTGTTAAATCTTCCTTAATCGATTGCGAGAAACTGCCACTTCTCTATCAAGATTTATGAAGTATGTGGGTTACTGAATTACAATGTAAGCTTCAACACTAGGCATTTAACTTTTCTCCCAGTGTGATTTTTAAAGCCTTTGTAGTGCATTTATAAGCAGAATTTAGGAAAAAATGATGTTAAATCTCAGCATAGAAATACTTTACTTCCTTAACATTCACAAAGACATCTCAGCCCTTTGAGGGTTTCTAGGTTCAGAAGAAAAGTTTTGCACTAATAATTGTATACCTTTGCACGTTGTTTTTTGGCATTTCAACAGCTTTCCCTTTTTTTTTATTGCAGATTATGTTTATTTTGAAAATTCTTCCAGCAATCCATATCTCATTAGGAGAATTGAAGAACTTAACAAGGTACACAAATATCTAAAATTCTTTCTTAAACTTTAACAGCAGTCAGTGCACTTGTCGAAAAGTGAGAGTTGTTTCCATCCTGTACGATTTCTATTGTGATAAGATTTTTTTTTTTGGTGTGTTTTGTTTTTTTTGTGTCGTTGGGTTTTTTTTTTTTTTCTTCTTTGAGATTTGCTATGTGTGTTGTGTATGCTTCAGTTACTGAAATCTTGCTATGTGATGTCCTGTCATTCTGCCCTGTTATCTAAGGAAACACCCAGGATCGTTCCTGGTGAACAGGGTTACTCTGCTATAAAAATTTTCAAACTAATTCTGTGAATCCTTGTGGAATTGAGTGAGTTTAATTCTCTGGATGATGATGACACTGTGAATCCATCGGAATGACAGTGATCATGTCATGTGTCTGCTTTTAGATATACGTGTAAAAGAGCTGGAAGGTATCAGTGAGACTTAGCAGTTATCGAGTAACAGAATATGTGACTTCTGTGGCTGTTTATTGCTCTGTGCATTGACAGCTGTGAATGAAGGATGGGCTTTTGAACAGAAGTATAGACTGTATTTGTCTTCATCCTGAGTGTATCTTCCTGAAGAATGGAGGCTTTCTACATTGTCATTCTGGGGAAGGCATGATTATTTTTCTTCTCTCTTATACTACTAAGAATAGTGTGGGATTTGTTTTTTTTTTTTTAGCATGGTGTATTTTTACTGTTCCCTCCAAACTTACTGATGCATTACATCACAAGTTAATAATCAAAATGCCCATCCTGATGTAAATAATGATAAAGATATCTTTTTTTCCCCAGTGGTTAGAAAGTAAATGAAAAAATTGGTGATCTGCAAACGATTTTCTTATTGTTAACAGAACATAACACTACTCCATAGCAGACGTCAACCACATTACCTGTTAGTGCTGTCCAACACAATATCCACTGAACTTGCGCATGGCAAATCACTTTGGACTTTTATTGGAGAGGAATATTTTTTTTATTTACAGTAATTGAAGTGATTCCAATCACGTTCTGAATGTAATGTTTATTATCTTTAAACTGCACTGCTATAATTTAATCTTGCTCACGCAGGGTAGAGCAGAGTCATGTACTGATTTTTTTTTTCCCCAGACAGTTTGGAGGATGTAGTCCAGCTGTCATAAATGTGAATGTTTTATTTTCATGTGTTAAAGGTATTGAGCAAACGTGGAGATGTTATGCAAATATATAATTAAATGCTTCGGTTATTGTTCTACCAGGGTTAAGATGCTTGGGGTTTTTTTTGTGTGTTTGTTTGTTTTGTAAGAAACTTAATTAAAACATTATACTTTTCAGTTCTAAATAACTAACCAAAGGTAATAAACTAATTCTGTGCTTTTCATAATGAGAAAGAGGGTACAGTTCTTCGAGTATTAGTAAATTCTTTACATTATCAGGCTAAAGAGCTGTAGTGATTTTTTCAAATAAACCGTGTTATATTCAATGTGATTTTGGAAAAGAATGCCAGAGTACGTTGGAATTTACATTTCTGTCTGAAGCTGTGTTGCAAAGAACTGTTCGCAGGCTTCTAATATTTCTTAATGATTCTTATGTTAGCATGGTACTGGCATTACATCTCTGAACAATGTATAAATTCTGAGGACTAAATAATTATAGTTAATCCTGTTGTCTGATCTGAAATTGGTACTGGCCTCTGTCAAGAAGTTTTTATTTATTGGAGTAATTCTGTTGATTTTGGCCTGACTAATCATGTGAGAACCACTGATATGAGGGAAAATCCCAAGCAGAGAGCATTTAATTTGTATTACTCAGCTGAGGAGGAATACATTCTGACTTGATTTATCTTTCTTTTGTAGACTGCCAATGGAAATGTGGAAGCAAAAGTGGTGTGTTTTTACAGGCGAAGAGATATTTCTAACAGCCTTATAATGCTTGCAGATAAGCATGCTAGTAAGTAGATTGTGTAGGGCATTTTGTCTTTCTATCACAGCCTTTTCAATTTCTACAGCTGCTTAAAATTGCAATTCTTTGACATGTGAAATATATATTTATATTAGGCAATAATTAATATCCAGTTAGGTGCTTAGCATTATCTGATACTGGCCTTGCTCCTGGCAATTGCTTCTGGGAATTAAGTTAAGCTGTATTACTGTGACTGAAACTGTTCATTTGAAAAAAAAAAAAATTTTCCACTGGAAGATACAGCTGTATTTCTTTTTTTTTCATGTCAAAAGTGGTGCTTGGTCGTAAGTCAGTTTAAGCTTAAGAGCATTTGTGAGGATTTGATTTGGCTTTTTTGAGATAGACATAAACATGTATTGCATAATGCAAAGAATGAAATGTATCACTGGAGACTGAAAATCTCTAAAGATTGTGAAATAGCTGTTATGTGCTTTTATGCTAAACGTAGATATTAGTCGGAAAAGTAGTATTAAGCATCATATAATTGGATTGTGTTTTTTTCAGGAAAATAAGTGCTAATAGGTGAAGAAAGCCCTATTTTCTCATGAACCTAACTTTTCTTAGTAGCTGCCATTTGGTTTACAAGTAAAACACAATCTTGTTCCATAATTTTATAATGAAAAATGTAATTCTGAAGACAAAAGCAAAACGTAAAATCTGAGGTGTTTGAGAAAACGGTTTTGCAGAATTTATTTGCAAAATACTGCTATCGTTTTTGTAAATAACTGAAGTGTGAAGTATGTCAACATCCAGTAGATTTCTTACCATATACTGTAAAATAACATTTTGCTTATAAATGATACTTGAGTTTTCAAAGTTAGCTGGTGAACAAGTTACGTAGGGATTATAAGTCTCTAATTTATCAGGATGATTCCCTTGAAAGACATTACCTAATGCCAACTTCTATGTGCAGATATATGATGGAGTAATTAGGCACTTTAAAAAATACGTTACCATTTGTTTAATGTCAAATTGTGATAATTTTGCTCATACAGGTATGGTTAGTGAAGAGAAATAGGCAACTTTTGGCTTTTGTTTTATTCTTTCACTGGTCCTAGAGAAATGGAGGTGATTTGAGTATGTAGTACTAGCTTGGTTTTTAAATAAAGAAGATACATCTTACTGATGTTCTTAGGGAATGATTTAATGTTTTTCTAAAATAGTTGGGCACACTTTATAGTTACTGGTGACCTATTTTATGGTCATCACCTCCTGCAGTGATTACAGTCTTTCAAGTTTTTTCATCTGAAATGTATAGAAATACAGAACTTTTGGTGAGCTTCAGTAAACTTTCCAGCTCATTTGTTTGTTTTTCTTTTCTAATGGAGGGGGCAAGGAAGGATTAAAAGGATAACAATTTACTGGAAATACACTCTTTTTTTTTTTGTTTAGTTTAATTTTTAAAACATGAATCTTTTACATTTCTTTTTCTTTTGTCAGCTTATTGTTTAGAAAAGGGTGTGTTAGTCCTGTGGGCATCATTTGGTCTGGAAAAGTGAATAAGATTTTTCTGTTTCCTTTGTGAGTTTGCCATTTTGTCAGCACTTTGATATAAAGGACTTGTTGACGGTCTGTTGCTCTTCTACTATACCATACTAGGGGTGAGTTGGTGTCACTAGAAGTACCATGGAATCTTCCATCATGTGTTCTCTATTGAGATTCTCGTGTTGTTTTCTAGCAAGAAAACAGATATATAGTTTCCAGCTGGTTCGACAAGTATCCTTGGAATGCCTCTGTGTCAGAGGTTGTAAGTCATCTAACCTGGTGTTCTTATGAACTATGTTTCTCTGTGGATGTTTTCTCTGGGCACAGTGGTTTTTTTTCCTGTCCAATCTATGCAATCTGTACTGCTAAGTAATCTTACCAGATACTTGTTACAGTTTCAGGGGACAGCACATAGCTTATATCTTGGTACAGCTCACGCAGCAGATGTAGTTAAATGTCAAAGCAATTTAAATGCTTTGATTCTGGAATACCATAGTGCTCTGTTTAAAAATATGATGTATGTAAACAAAATATTTGTATATTTATGAATTGAATGTTTTGGAAATGTTTTATGTAGCTAAACATGTTGACACTACAACACTTCTACCTGGCTTAATATAAAATAAATGCTAAAAGATACAAGTTTCTTAAGGAATAGAAATGCTAGTTCAGTCACTGATTTCTCCTGTGTACCTGTCTAGACAAGTCTTTTAAGATTTGCTTGATCTTTTCTAATGATATTTTATGTTGTTAGCAATTCTTTTTTCTTTATGATAGAGAAAACTATCCTGAGTTACTCACTTCTCAAGACTTTGGCAGGTGGAGATTGGGTTTTTTTTGTCCTATTTAATGAAACAAGAAAATAGCTTTGTAAGAAAATATTTTAGAACTTTAAGAAGAAATTTTCAATTACTTGAAGAAGTTTCAAAGCTATTTGAAAGAATGTTTGGGAAAAATGGAATGCAGTTGATCTCTGACTCTGTCATTGGTAAAGAGTCAGTATACTGCTTCTATGGTTTGGAGTTTTTTTGTTTGGGGTTTGTTTGCTTTTTTTTTTTTTCAGGTTGTCTTCCAAAAGGATGTGGGGAAATTGAGTTTTCCTTAGGCCATCCTAAGATAGTTGGGGTCAGAGGAGTTTCTTTGATTTCAAAGAATGTCACTAATCTGTTAGGAAACTTGTGTTGCCATCCTTTTTTCTCTGGTGTTTCGAGTGGAACTTAATTAAGGAAATTTTTATTTGTCTACCAGCATCATGTATGACATCAGTCTAGATCTGGGAATAGTTCTACAAGCTGACTGTAGCCACTGAAGTCCAGGCGTTTGGAATGTTTAAGGGTCACTTGAGGACTTTATATTTTTCCCCCTTTGATTTCTGTTACTATAAAATAGAGTTTATGTTAAGGCCAACTTGAAAGACAAACCTTCAAGACAAACTTCTTGAACCTGTGCAGGCTCCTGAACTCAGTTGGAGATTTCTTCTGTAGTGTTAACACTCACTAGCTCTTAAGTTGTGGTCATCACCATAGGGTCACTGAGGGGGGACCTTTCCTTTCTTGGAATGAAGGAATTGGCCAGAAGAGTAAGGCTTATCTCATAGGGTAAAGAAGGAAGAGAGAAGAACAGAAGATAGCAGGTAGAGCTATTGCAACAGATACCGAAGTGCATAAGCAAATGAACTTGGAGAGGTGGGACAGAAACACTCAGCTCATTAAAATGGATGAAGCAAGCACAAAAGGGGTGGCATAGAGATGTTTCATAACCAAATGGTGTGATTGAGAAATTGCCAACTGTAGCTGAATCTATAAAATGCAGATGTTTCTTCAGATAAAGTGGAATTAAT